TGATAACCGCGTGTTTGATAACTTGGACTTTGACGGGAATAGTTTTTTTGATTCTTAATATCGCGGCGCTCTTTGACCATGCGTTTATGAGTGTTGCCACGATTCTTCTGGTGCAGACGAAGGCGATTTTTTCTGGAACTATGATTGTTACGATGTTTCATATGCACGACACCACTCTCAAAAGTAAGGTGAGTTACTAACTTCTAAAAAAATAAAAAAAATTAAATATAATACTTATTGCATGGCGATGTCAAAATCTGTTCTAAAAAACAATCTATTCCAAAAATTTATTATCATATCGGTTTTTGGTCGAGGACGACTTTTTGCGCGGCGGCTACGATAATGAGACCTCCCAGATAAGGTGGGCGTAATTACCAGAACGAGGGCGCACCCCAGGAGACGACTCAAGATCCCATTCTATTCCGCCTAATCGCATCATTTGACCTAAAAACCCAATTGGTGATTACCTAAATGGATGGAAGTCGTTTATGGGTCGCTTTGTGCAACCAGTTGAGTTGTGACCGGCACCCAGTGACAATGGCGGCTACGAACTGCATCCTGTGCCTGTACTACGCCACCATCGACATCACCCACCTTTTCATGCCAGTGAGACCCTGCTGCCCACATTCCAAGTCCCACTACGCCCGCAAGCCCACCCTGAGGATTTCCAAGTCAGGACTGGTGTTCTACCTGCTCCTCACTCTAACTCTGATGTGCATGACCATCACTTGCATTTCGGACTTGATGGAAACGTGCAGAGTGGATAAAGCTCTGTGTTTAGTGATAGCTGCAGACGAGTTTTTCTCTACGACTAGTATGGCAACAGGGGTGCTCTTTGTGTGCAATGCCACTAATTATTGTACCGAGATAGAATCGTGGTGTCAAACTATCCTCAATGGAAAGATGTACGGTCTAGACGATGTTATCGACGATAAAATAGCTAAGAAAATTGTGACTACGAGAAACTGTTGTCTTTACGCGTTTTGGTCCATAGGATTTTATACCTTCACGATCTACTTTGGATTTTCTTGGTATGATAACCTGTCTTGGAATGTCATCAGGAAACTGGTCTTGATAGCTGGTATTTGCTTGCAAGTGTACATGATTTTGGAGTTCTCGGACAAGTTCATCATTGCTGGAAGCGTACTAGATGCTATCAAGAGATCTTTGAAGATGAGGAGATGTTTCTCGAAGCATGTTCTCACTATCTGCGCTATAAGTAGGGTTAATCGTTTGGCGGAGTGCTTGATTACGGGGAGTCTGTCAACATGGACTCTGTCGACGATCGTTTATTTGATCTGTAACATTTCGGCGCTCTTCAACTACTCAGAAATGGATCTTTCTACTATTATTCTTCTACAAACGAAGGCGGTTTTCTCAGGAGCTTTGATTTTTATAGTGTTTTATTTGCACGACGCCATTCTCAAAAACAAGGTGAGTGTAAATTTGTCTTATAATTTATTAAAAACAGTAATTATAACGACACTATTATGAGAAGTACTCAAGCATTCATTACGACATCAAACTACCTCCCACATAATACGCTAATTGATTACCAATCATACAAAGAGAGCTCGTTTTGTCTAATGAGCGAAATTAATTGAGTGTGTCTTCAAGTACATCGCTTCAGTTAAAAATTGACCTCGATCATGAAACCATCTTTCGATAATTTTTTTAAGTGGACGGCTTCCAACTGCTTAGTGTGTGCTTATCACACCTTCATTGATCCTTTCCGCTTGTTCTACCCCCTCAAAGGGTACTGTCAACATTCCTCCTTGTACCATTCCACCAAACCCCAGTTCAAAATTTGGAAATTTTCACAAACCTTGTTAATAATCGTCTCTTTCTTCCTAGTTCTCCCAACATTAATCCTCTTCCGGTACTTACCCCCACTCTGGCAAACCGAACGCTCACTTTGCCTAATTCTAATCTCGGACCAAGTACTGGTTATCAGTACCGTCATCTTGGTGTTGATCATCCGTCTAAGATTGTCTTTCCAGCGCTTGGAAGCCGAAGGCTACTTGAAAATTTTCGAACACAGAAAACACTTTCTTCTAGACGATATTCTAGCCGAAAGAGAACTCAAATGGATGGTACTAACCCGGAATTTGTTAATAGTGGTGATTCTGATAGGCGCTGGCTTGAATGCCTACTTGCACTACTCCGTCTCGTACGATAACCTACCATGGAGCATGGTCAGACGATTCACGATAGTGTATTGTTGTGCTTTACAGTGCTACATTGCTGCAGAATTCATGCAAAAGATTTTCATAATCGGGAAAGTACTACAAGCGGTGATGACGTCAGTCAAATCCACCTTAAACGTCCGGCTATTTTTGAATACCGTCAGTTCGCAGAAAGTAGTTCTAAAATCCGCCTTCGCAAGATATTCGCACTTGGTGCTGTGTTTGAACGAGAATTTGAACTTGTTGATGAAGTTCATGACGAGCTGCCTAGTCACTTGGATTTTGCTTCTAACCCTGAGTTTGATTCTAAACTTTTATATTTTTTGCGAATACGTGGATTACAATTTTGGCGCTTTGTGTGCGCTGCAGTATAGAACTATGGCTATTATTTTCGGGATTTCGGGGCTGCTTTTGTCGCACGACTGTCAACTGAAACAAAAGGTGAGTGGAACAATTTTAAACACAAGAATCTCATTACGAATAAGCACTTAAATCAACAATCAGGATTAGAACAAAGCTGTCGTTGTTGTTCATATTTAACCAACCCCGTAACCCGAGATTTTAATTAATTAATTTAATCCCTAATTGAATCACACCCAGTTCTATACAAGCCTCGACATGTACCACACACAAAATCGCGGTCCTACACCCAGTGACTGCGTGGTCTGCGTAATCCGCCCCTTGTGTAAAGTCCTCCTCTTCACTCTGCCATTCCAAATCGACTGCCCCCACAACAACCCTACTCTCCCAAAACCAATTTTCAAAATCTATAAATTCTACCTTCTGGTGGCCTACATCTTCGGCTTTCTCACCACCCTTCTAACCCTTTCTTTCCCTTACTTGATCTACACGTACTGGGAAGACAAACCCGCGTGTATTTCGCTCATCATCGACTTCATCTTCGCCGCAAACGGATCAATCCTCTTCTTCATATCTTTGTCACGCATCCACCTGAAGATCGCCGACTACCAGAACTTCATTTCTTTGATCAGAAAGTGCCGAAGCTTCGGAATCAGAAGTGTGATTGATTCCAAGAAAACGAGATACTTGAAAAGGAGGAGCTACCTTCATGGATGCGTGACGATTGGGGTTACTCCCGTATTGATCTACATCTACATGATCGAAGACAACTTTGAACTCAAACTGGTGCGCATGCTGCCAGTGGTTGTGAGTCTGTTTCTTCAATTTGGGCTAGTGTTTCAAGTTTCGCAGTACATGACTTTGATTGGGTTGTCATACACGGCGTTCACTAGTCATGTGAAGAAGTACTTTGACCAGAATAAACTTAGATCGGTACAGAGTTTGAAACGATTGAGGGACTTCATCAGTATGATTAATCTGAACATCAAGTTGATTAACGTCTTCTTGGATCCGTCGATTTCGATTTGGACTTTGAAGCTAGTAGCGATTTTGATTCTGAATACGTACCTAGGGATTATTCAGTTTGATCAGATTTGGGGGATCGAGATGATGATGTCGCACATGAGGACGCTGCTGGCGATTATGGTCATTATTTACTTGATTTATAGGTTGGAGTTGCTGGGACGGCAGGTAAGACTATAATAATGAACAAAGATCGAAGATTACTAACCCCTTATTATAATCGCATCAACCCGTAAACACACTCGCCGCATTACCAGTCCTCAACCAGCCACACGATGGCCACTAGTCAAAATTGCCTTCTCTGTCATATTCGCTTCTTCAACAAATACGCTTTCTTCTCCGGGATCATCTTCTTCGACTGCAACTGCCACCACACCAAAACCATCCCAAAAGGTTTCGTCGTGTCTAGAAACAAATTCGCCTTCTGTGTCCTTCTGTTCTTGTTAACTGTAACTTTTTTTCTTGTCTGTGAAATCTACTTCTACCACGGCTCCAACCTCAACAACATGGACCCCCAATACTACGACCACTTCCGAATCTTCGAAAGTTTCGGCTTAGTGACCGCGATTTGCATCCTCATTTTCTACAAGAATCGAATCGCAGCCTTGACTTTGTACCAGAAGCTGATTCTGAAGCACCGAATCCACTTCAGTCAGGCGCAGCAGAAGCGATTCCACGACATCCTAGCTTACATTCTTTGTGTGACTTGCATCATCAGTCTGGGGTTTGGTTTCTTCGGCTCTTTTCACATCACCCCCGACGAACCTCTTGCCTTCAGGTTTCTCATGGCGTCGACCGTAGCTATAACCACATCCAACATCTATTGTGCATCTTTTTTTAAATATTTCGAGGTGCAACTTATGTTGGATGTGCTTCAGGAAAGTTCGTCGAAGCTTGTGGATACTTTGGAGAACAAACTAGGACACAGGAAACATGCCAAGGGGGTTTGTGTGGATGTAGAGTCCCGGAAAAATTTTGCCATTTTTCGGGAATTTTTTTGTTTGTATAAGTCGATCATTTTCGGGGTGGATTATCTGAATAGTGATTTGTTCGTCGTAGTGAGAGGGTTCTATCAAGTTTTTGTTCTGATTTACAACATCTACTTGTTGTGTTACGATACGGAATATACTTTGATCAAAATCCTGCACCGAGGGCTTACGATTGCGAATTTGACGCTGATGTATTGTAAATTTTGCAGTGCCATCGAGAACGTCACGGAACTTGTGAGTACCGAGTGTTTTGTTTCGCTTTTCCATAATTTACAATCACTAAAAGTAATATATTAAATAATAATAAAAAACACATTAATTATTGAAGAATATGGCTGCCCCTAATAGGCAACCAGTTATACACCATTATATTTACCGACCTGGAATCACCGCGATTATCACCAACATTTAACAAATTACACCGCCACTCACCACTTCTAAAATGTCACCCAACGACTGTGCAGTGTGTGCTTTAAGCCCTATTCTCTTCTTCACTTGTAATTTCATCAATTTCTCGCAATTCTCGTGTCCTCATTCGAAATATCCAAGCACCGAACACCTCCGAATCAACAAAAGCAAACTCGTGGTACCCCTAACAGAGTGCCTTCTTCTCGTTTTCGCAATTTACAACAACCTCAAGCACTTCTCTTCGTACCAACACAAAGAAAGACTCATCACCCTAAATGAAACCGTCATGCTAGTGTTCGTTTTGTTCCTATTGCTATTTTTAATGACTTCCTCTAGGGAATCAGTCCTCCACTTCAACGGCCTCATTTCGATAAAAAACAACCGGTACTACTACGGAACTGCGGCAATTTTAGGGACCAAAACTGTGAAGAAGTACTTCAAAACGTACTTACTTTGCGCTTTCTACAACGCGGGCCTCCAAGTAATTTTTTTCCTGGTGTCGTTTGCAAGTCTCGGTACTAACACTTTCGAGTGGGTCCTCAAAGTACTGTCGTGCGAAATCTGTATCTCTGTCCCCATCATCGTCGTCTTCAAATTCATCGCGCTGTTAAAACTGTACAAGAATTTCCTCCGAGCTAATAACGACTCTTTAATTAAATTGCTGACGAAAAAGAAAAAATGTTTCTCTTATCGAATCAAGTTGCTGAGGCGGATGTACCACTGTGTCATGGTTAATTTTAACGTGATGGGTCTGTATTTAAACTTGACGCTTTTAGTACTGGGACTAACGTTAGTGGTTTTGTTGGTTTCTTGTTTTTATATTCTTATTGTGATTTATGGGCGCGACTATGGGTTGGATTTTTACGAGGGGGCGTTCGTTGTCATTTCGGTTTTACAGTTCATTGGGGGGCTGTTTGTTTGCGTGACGGTGGCCGAGCTGGAGAAAATGGTAAGAGTTTTGAAGTTTATTTTTTAATTGGATTGTAGTAGGTTGTGGAATTTTCAAATAATCATAGTTGTAATTTAATATTTGCGTGTTTATAAGTGGCAGTGTTGTTGAAATAAGTGTTACACTGGTTAATTTTTGTGTGTGGATAAATCATGTCAGCAACAGGTAACTATATGTTAGTAAAATTTTATCGGCAGCGTTGTCGTACTAATTTTTCTAGTTAATTTTGTTTCAGGTACTAGAATAAACAGACTCTTCTGAGACAGCTTCACTTTCATTGTTATTATTATTATTATTATTAGTTGTGTGTGTGTATATATTTTTAACGTAATAAAAATTCTTTTCTTCGCCGTCTCCATGACGCCGCCACCACCACAAACGCGTTTAATTAAATTACGCAAGTGGCGTTTGTCATCGCCGGTCTCCGAAGACGCATCAACTTTAATTACGCCGTCCCTGAACCCACAATAATAACCAATAAGTCACCCCGCCGCCCCCATCAAACAATACGAACAATCATTAAGCGTCCATCTATCAACATTTATTCAACTATTAGCTTCGACATAATCAGATAAAATTATTTGTTCTAGAGCGAAGATATCCTGTCATTTCTGTTCAAATATCCAATTAGTAAATTGACCGCCGCCGAGGCAGCACAGGTGCGTGTGCGATAAACTGGGATATCGGTCTAACAAAGTAATTTTGTTGCTTTATTGCGACAGGTGGAAGTGCTGATAACCACGCTCACGATACAGAAACCGGTGCTTCGGGCTTCGGACATTTTCACCGTGGGGACGCGGCTCCTGGCTTCGGTGAGTGAATTTTTGATTCGTTTGGACACCCGAAATGCCGTTTGTTTCAGATATCGGGGACGGTCGTCACCTACGTCTTGGTCGCGCTCCAGTTCCACGCCTCCTGGGCCAACTAGTCATGTACCCCAGCACCAAACACGTCACCACTAGCCCGGTCTTCGAAATCAAAAAAGACTCTATTTGCATCTGCAAGATGTTCAAGCCGATCCTCTACTTAAGCAAGATGATGGGTTTCATGCCCATTGTGTCCGACCACAAAGACGGCAAGTGCAACTTCCACAAATCGGTAGGCTGGATTTGCTTTTCCTTCTTTCTCATCGCGGTGTTGTCGTTTCAAATCGGCCACTCGATCGACTTCTTGCACTTGACTAAAGTCAAGTCCTTGCCCATTCTTCTGAACAACATCACCGACGCCATCTACGGAGTCTACATCATCATTCTGACCGCCCTCAACATGTACCGCTTCCCCAGGTGGATCAAAACCTTGAACAAGTTCGCGTCGGTGCTCAAGGAAGGAATCTTCTGCCAGTCCGCTATGAAGGTGATACTCACAGTCGAGTACTACGTTCTAGGAGTGTTGTTCTTGGGGATCGTGGTTCAAGTGAGTCTTCTGGCGTTCTTGCACTTCTCGCAGAGCTACGAAACCGACTTCGACTACAACTTCTTCATCAATAAGCTCCTCCAGAACATCTCTTTCGTCTTTTACGCTATATTCCTGACCATCATTTCTGTCTTTATCGGGATTTTGGCGTGCTTCGAGAAGCTCACGATTAGTTGTTTGAAGTATACTCCTGTGCACCCGATGAAAGGGATCAACGAGACTAACAACACCCGCGATTTCTTCGGTTTGGTTACTTACAAGTTATGCAAAGAGGAGCATCCGTGCACGGGACGTTTGGCTAAGCTTCCGCAAGCCGAAGTGGTCGAATTCTTACGCATCCTACACGAAGACATCAGTTTGGTCATCTACGAAATCAACGACTGCATGAACCCGCAGTTCTTGTGCCATACTGTCGTTGAGTTGACAGTACTGATCGTCCAGTGGTACGCCGTCATAGTCTATATGGCTTTCACTTTCAAGGCACCTCAAGCTAGTAGCATCCACGTTGTCAACTGCTTCTTTGTTATTGTTCATACGTTGGGGATTTTTCTTTTCTTAAAGAACGCACAGCAGCTGAAAAATATGGTGAGTACTTTTTCACAAACTGAGCAACTTTAAACTAGATAAAGTGTGTAATTAGCGTTTAGTTGATGTTTTGTCACTTATAAATAATGACGGAAAGAAAAATTTCTTTTTAATTGTGTTACAGCTGTTAATTATGTGCTTCGTCTGAAAAATCGAGTTTGCACTTTGTCATAAATAACGGAATTAGCAATTATATGTATAGAACAGGTGTTTGAAATTTCAGTTTCACTGGAAAGTCGGTAATTTAAACATTATCACGTACAATAACCGGGATATAAAAATAATAACGATCCTGATGAAAGTTTCTGAATGAGTAAAAGCGTTTTCTTTGTTGGTGAAAAATGGTATTTTTCGTGTGTGGGTCGAGTACTTAATGTCGTTTTAATGGTTTTTCTTCAGATACAAGGTTTAAACAACTTCCTGCTGGAATATTCCACGCGGATTTCTTCACTCGAAGAACACCAACAGGTCAGACTCTTTATAGAGAAATTGAAACAACATCGACCTTTGACGGCCAGCGGCGTCTTCACCATAGATTTGGGAATTGCCGGCCCGGTACTCACTTCCTAAACGATCTTCTTTTTCTTAAAATATCGTTCCAGATATCTGCGAACATCCTCACCTACGTGCTGGTGGCCCTACAGTTCGAGATACCGAAAGAAGATTAATTTCTCTAAAGCCACTAACGATGGATTTCTTGCTTGCACGTTTTCCAGTTTTTTTCCCTGTAATTACTGCACGTCACGTCGCATGAGCTTGAACTTCTTGCAGTGTAAATAAAACTCGTTTGTTATATAAATGTTATATTAAAATATATATAATTAATAACAAAAAACATCAACAATATGTACAGGACACAGGCATACATGACACATGAACACGATGAAACGATAAATTATGAACCTAACCTAAAATGACAGACTTTGAAGGTACTCTTGACTTGCACTGGCTAATCGTAACCGCCGTGATGATGGCCGCCGCCGCCGCCACCGCCACCGCCATAGCCACCACCGAAACCGCCTCCGAAACCGCCGCCACCACCTCCGTGGTGACCACCTCCGAAGCCGCCGCCTCCGCCGCCGTTACTCTTGATAATGACAGTGGTGTGGCCGCTGCCGCCTCCGTGGCCGCCTCCTGAAATTAATTTATCCATAAAACACTAGAAAACAGTCGTGAATGGTCTTACCTCCGCCGAATCCTCCCCCGCCGCCTCCATGATGATCATGTCCACCTCCAAATCCCCCTCCGAACCCACCCCCGCCGCCGCCGTATCCGCCACCGCCGCCGCCGTGGTGGTCGTCGTGGCCACCCCCGAATCCGCCTCCGAAGCCCCCTCCGCCTCCGTATCCACCGCCGCCTCCGCCGCCGTGGTGATCATCATGGCCGCCGCCAAAGCCTCCTCCGAAGCCACCGCCCCCTCCTCCTCCGTACCCACCGCCGCCTCCACCGCCGTGGTGATCATCATGGCCACCGCCAAAGCCTCCCCCGAAGCCACCGCCCCCTCCGTATCCACCACCACCACCGTGGTGGTCATCGTGGCCTCCTCCGAATCCTCCTCCGAACCCACCGCCGCCGCCGCCGCCGTATCCGCCCCCACCGCCATGGTGATCGTCGTGACCGCCCCCAAATCCGCCTCCGAAGCCACCTCCAAAGCCGCCACCGCCGCCTCCGCCACCATGGTGGTCATCGTGGCCTAAATTATAACAAGATTAACAATTTGTCGTACAATTAAGTATCACAAGTTACCTCCTCCAAATCCGCCGCCGCCGCCTCCGAATCCGCCTCCATAACCTCCTCCCCCGTGATGGTCATCGTGTCCACCACCTCCAAAACCTCCGCCGAAGCCGCCTCCGCCCCCGTATCCACCTCCACCGCCGCCGTGGTGGTCATCGTGGCCGCCTCCAAAACCGCCGCCGCCACCGTATCCACCGCCTCCTCCAAATCCGCCGCCTCCATGGTGGTCATCATGACCTAATTTTTCAAAATTTTAGATAAGAATTGAACGTTAAGACAATTGTGATTTCTTGCACCTCCTCCGAAGCCGCCCCCGAATCCTCCTCCGAATCCTCCGCCACCACCGCCTCCGTGGTGATGGTCATCGTGTCCTCCGCCGAAACCGCCTCCGAAGCCACCACCTCCGAAGCCACCGCCGCCGCCTCCGTGGTGGTCATCGTGTCCTATAATTGCAACCAATTAGTAAGTCGCGAAGGCGTTGATTCTTTTGGGGTACCTCCTCCGAATCCACCTCCGAATCCGCCGCCGTAGCCACCGCCGCCGCCGTGGCCGCCGCCGCCGTCTTGTTGTAGGATGATTATTTTTTGGGCGTCACCGCCTCCGTGACCCCCTCCGTGACCGCCACCTCCTCCGAATCCTCCTCCGAAACCGCCTCCGAAGCCACCGCCGAAACCGCCGCCGTCATCGTGGTGGTGGTGGTGATGATCGTCGCCGCCACCGCCACCGCCGCCTCCGTGGACGTGGACTATTTCCTTGTGGACTTCGTGGTGAGGAGCGGGTTCAGGAACGTGGATTCTTATATGAACACTAAAAAAAAATAATTTTTTAAAATTTTTGAAAGGCACAGACAGATGTTGCCATAAATAAAGTCACTTTAAATAGAGTCAATTTTTTCTTTTTTCACAATAAATTACTTTTATAAAATAATCTGGATTAAAGTTGGCTTTAAAATTTATTCCGACTGGTTAAAACTGGCAACTTCTGTTTCGTAAATGGCAACTTCCGATTTCTTAAATGGCAACTTACTGTTCTTTCCCAAAAGTGGCCGCACTGTAGGCAAACACCGCCGCCAAGATCACCAACCCCTGCAACACACAAAGTTTATCAAACTGTCCTCTCCCTCGCCCTCCGAACACTCACGAATAACTTGGAAGCCATCTTCGGCGACTTCCCGAATACCAGTACCGGTTGGTTGTTGCAGTACTGTGGACCGCAAATGTGCTCAAAATCCCGAACCGGCGGCGTTTTATAGAGAACATCTCCCTCGATAAGTCGGCGAGCTGATAATGAGGAGTTCCCATGCAGTGGGGGCTCGTGGGGAGACCACAATGGGTTTCCTCTTGCTGGTATTGGCCCTGACCCAGAGAGGAGCCTCGCTTCGATTTCGCCGGCGAGAGTGAAAGAGGGGTCGTCGAACGGTCCACTGGTAAAGATCGCACACGTTTTGCTTTCTTCCAAGGATGGACGATGGGTTATGGGCAGACGGGTTTACGTAATGGAGTCGAGGTGGCGAAAAAAGCGTCTGGGCGAAGCGGGTCAGGCGTGGTGTGCTCGAATTCTGAGGTGGCGAAAATGGTTACGCATTCTGATGTTTTCTTAGCTTGAAGTGTACAGCAGGAATACTGAAAATACAGTTTCAAAGCTTTTTGGGTTTTTTCTTTTTGTAGTTGGTGCTGAGTGATGTTGGGTCTTGAAATGTGTCCTTCACTGCCTCTCCTTATATCCACTAAAAGTATAAAAAATTAATAAAAAAAATAACGTGTTCGTGGAAGAACGAAAGCAACTTGTTGAGCAATTTAAAGAAACATCAGGTAAGTGACTGAAACATCTGACACTGATTGTAGCTAGCTTTCCCTACTTCTGACAATTTTGACTTCTGTAGAAAAAAATCGGAAGCTGATATTTAATTTTCGCAATGATTTAAAATGTTGACCATAAAATTATATAGATTACACATATGAACCCATAGATTTGATTCTTTCTTTGACCCGATCAGAATGACTTCTTTCTTTTTTTTATTTTTTGAAGTTGATGTCTCTAACATAATTCTTCCAAAGGCTACAAAATTTTTGGAGAAATAATACTATATTTTGTTGATTTCGTGTTTTTTTTTCTTAAATTTCATTTCTGATGAAGATAATAGCAAGATAAAAAAATATCTTTTGGATATTTTCTGTCAAATTATTTTTAATTTTCAAAATTCTTCTCAAGATTTTTGTGTGAGGAAAGGAGTTATAAATTTGACTTACAATCTAAAAATTTGAACAAAATGCAATATACAAAAATTAAGAAGTTGTAACCAGAAAACATAGCTCTAAATTTTTTTCATTTCGTAGTTACGATAGAAAAAGGGCATTTTTTAAGAATTATTTATCATTTTTATTAAAAAAAAATCTCCAAAACCAAAACTGGCATTTAAAATGTTCACTTTTTTTAATCATATCAAAGTCTTGAAACGCTATATTAAAAATTGACAACATGATTAAAAAAAATCAAAACTTAAACATATACACAGGTAATAATTAAATTCTTAAGGGTTTTCTTTCTTTAGATCTAATGAGATTTTTAGCACGAGGGAATTTAAAAAAAATCTGATTTAGATACTTAGATTTTTTAATTTTATTTTTTTCCTAATGTCATACTAATTTTAATGCACCAATTTTAATTTTTTTATACTCCTACAAAATATAAAAAAAAGAGAAGCAAAATTGTATCATTTTTAACGTCTTTTTAAGTTTCTAAGAATTAAAAAAAAGCGTCACAATTGAGACTGGGTGGGCGGGCGGGCTTACTTTTGCCTCTTTGTTTTAATATGAAACTTAAATAAAACATGTTTAAAATGGAAAATTTGTATAAGGAAATACCGATTTTGCTCCAAAATTGCAAAATCCATATTTCCTTGGAAAAATGTACAATTTTAAGCATGTTTTAAGTTTCTTGTTGTGAAAAGATGACTATTTATATTCAGAAAAAAAAAGCAAAATATGATCCCCGCCCACCCACCCTATCTCAATTCTGATGATTTGTTTATTCGCCGTGAGCCCAGAGGACGGAGCTATATATGTTAACGAACAATTTTTTTTTCTCAAAATTTTATATTTCCTTTGTGGTACGCTATTTTATTGAATATATATTTCATTATTTTTAAGATGAAGGAAAAACTATAACAAGTAAAAGTCTTTTTAAAGAGGAAAATTGACAAACTATTTCAAAAATTTGAAATTGCAGTGAAAATTTTGATTTAGATACTCAGATTTTTTTATTTTAATTTTTTATTTGACATACTAATTTTGATGCATTTTTCCAATTTTAATTTTTTGACTAAAACTATTTAAAAAATTTGAAATTGCAGTGAAAATTTTGATTTTTTTTCGAAAATGTTGCTTCGTGACTATCAACATGCTATATTTTTAGAATCAGCGTGTCGAGATCTACCTCCCTGAATTTTTTCATAATTTTTAGACAACTTTTTTAAAATTGAAATTTTTTAATGGTTCCCCCTTCTTCAAATTTTGCAAAACTTTTGACATTTTCGAAACTCAACTAAATATATTTTCTTGTAGATTTCTAGCTCTAGAACTCAAATCCGGCTTTGATTTTTTGATACCTGCTACCGTTTTTCCAGAATCAACCATTGAAATATCGAAATTTTTGAAATTTTCAAAAATTCGCATTTCGCAGCGATTTTTTCGAAAATGTTGCTTCGTGACCATCAACATGCTATTTTTTGTGGAATCAGCGTGTCGAGATCTACGTCCCTGAATTTTTTCATAATTTTTAGACAACTTTTTTAAAATTGAAATTTTTTAATGGTCCCCCATTCTTCAAATTTCGCAAAAATTTTGACATTTTCGAAACTCAACTAAATACATTTTCGTGTAGACTTCTAGCTCTAGATCTCAAATCCGGATTCGATTTTTTTATACCTGCAACCGTTTTTCCAGAATCGACCGTTGAAATATCGAAATTTTTGAAATTTTCAAAAATTCAAATTTCGCATAGATTTTTTCGAAAATGTTGCTTCGTGACTATCAACATGCTATATTTTTGGAATCAGCGTATCGAGATCTACGTCCCTGAATTTTTTCATAATTTTTAGACAACTTTTTTAAAATTGAAATTTTTTAATGGTCCCCCATTCTTCAAATTTCGCAAAAATTTTGACATTTTCGAAACTCAACTAAATACATTTTCTTGTAGATTTCTAGCTCTAGAACTCAAATCCGGCTTCGATTTTTTTATACCTGCAACCGTTTTTCCAGAATCGACCGTTGAAATATCGAAATTTTTGAAATTTTCAAAAATTCGCATTTCGCAGCGATTTTTTCGAAAATGTTGCTTCGTGACCATCAACATGCTATATTTTTGGAATCAGCGTATCGAAATCTACGTTCTTGAACTTTTTCATAATTTTTTGGCAACTTTTTTAAAATTGAATTTTTTTAATTTTTCAAATTCGCAAAAATGTTGACATTTTCGAAACTTAACTAAATACATTTTCTTGTAGATTTCTAGCTCTAGAACTCAAATCCGGCTTCGATTTTTTTTTACCTGCAACCGTTTTTCCAGAATCGACCGTTGAAATATCGAAATTTTTGAAATTTTCAAAAACTCGCATTTCGCAGGGATTTTTTGGAAAATGATGCTTCGAGACTATCAACATGCCATATTTTTGGAATCAGCGTATCGAAATCTACGTCCCTGAATTTTTTCATAATTTTTAGACAACTTTTTTAAAATAGAAATTTTTTAATGGTCCCCCATTCTTCAAATTTCGCAAAAATTTTGACATTTTCGAAACTCAACTGAACACATTTTCTTGTAGATTTCTAGCTCTAGATCTCAAATCCGGATTCGATTTTTTTATACCTGCAACCGTTTTTCCAGAATCGACCGTTGAAATATCGAAATTTTTGAAATTTTCAAAAATTCAAATTTCGCATAGATTTTTTCGAAAATGTTGCTTCGTGACTATCAACATGCTATATTTTTGGAATCAGCGTATCGAGATCTACGTCCCTGAATTTTTTCATAATTTTTAGACAACTTTTTTAAAATTGAAATTTTTTAATGGTCCCCCATTCTTCAAATTTCGCAAAAATTTTGACATTTTCGAAACTCAACTAAATACATTTTCTTGTAGATTTCTAGCTCTAGAACTCAAATCCGGCTTCGATTTTTTTATACCTGCAACCGTTTTTCCAGAATCGACCGTTGAAATATCGAAATTTTTGAAATTTTCAAAAATTCGCATTTCGCAGCGATTTTTTCGAAAATGTTGCTTCGTGACCATCAACATGCTATATTTTTGGAATCAGCGTATCGAAATCTACGTTCTTGAACTTTTTCATAATTTTTTGGCAACTTTTTTAAAATTGAATTTTTTTAATTTTTCAAATTCGCAAAAATGTTGACATTTTCGAAACTTAACTAAATACATTTTCTTGTAGATTTCTAGCTCTAGAACTCAAATCCGGCTTCGATTTTTTTTTACCTGCAACCGTTTTTCCAGAATCGACCGTTGAAATATCGAAATTTTTGAAATTTTCAAAAACTCGCATTTCGCAGGGATTTTTTGGAAAATGATGCTTCGAGACTATCAACATGCCATATTTTTGGAATCAGCGTATCGAAATCTACGTCCCTGAATTTTTTCATAATTTTTAGACAACTTTTTTAAAATAGAAATTTTTTAATGGTCCCCCATTCTTCAAATTTCGCAAAAATTTTGACATTTTCGAAACTCAACTGAACACATTTTCTTGTAGATTTCTAGCTCTAGAACTCAATTCCGGCTTCGATTTTTTGATACCTGCAACCATTTTTCCAGAATCGACCTTTGAAATATCGAAATTTTTGAAATTTTCAAAAATTCGAATTTCGCAGCGATTTTTTCGAAAATGTTGCTTCGTGACCATCAACGTGCTATATTTTTGGAATCAGCGTGTCGAGATCTACGTCCCTGAATTTTTTCATAAATTTTAAACAACTTTTTTAAAATTGACATTTTTTAATGGTCCCCCATTCTTCAAATTTCGCAAAAATTTTGACATTTTCGAAACTCAACTAAATACATTTTCTTTTAGATTTCTAGCTCTAGAACTCAAATCCGGCTTCGATTTTTTGACACCTGCAACCGTTTTTCCAGAATCGACCGTTGAAATATCGAAATTTTTGAAATTTTCCAAAACTTCGCATTTCACAGCGATTTTTTCGAAAATGTTGCTTCGTGACCATCAACATGCTATATT